AGCAATAGAAAAACTCAGAATTCAGAGGTGTAATTCTTATCCCAAGGTTTGTGCTGCTACTCCCCTGTGGAGTGAATTTTGTGACACCATGAACAGTGGGGAAACTCCCTACCCGGCCTCTGAGTTTGTCTTCCAGAGGGGATCTTGTGGTAGAACTGGGGAGATCCTGAGTCTGCTTCCTGAAACAAGTATCTGTTTTCTAAGGATGATTTTTACAGCAGATCCTCACCATGAGATTTCATTGCAGGATTTCATAAGTCCAACACTGTGTGAAAGGGGACAAATTCTTTGCAGACCGTGCATCCCTCCCTCGCTGAGTTTAGTAAACACCTGCTCCCTAAATTCAAGGTCACTAACTCAGTAGCAACCCATCGCCAACCTTGATGTTCTTCTCACAATGGCAAATTGTCCTATTTACATTTCAGAGTTTTGGCAGCGTTACTACTGCAGCGTTACTGCTACTACTCTTTTGTTCCAGTCCCTTGTCCCACATCCTTAGCCCCAAATCCATCTCATATCCTAGAGCCATTTTATTGATCCTTCCAGGACAAAAGCTACTGTAGTACCCTCAAAGTTTCCAAGCCTAGAGGAGATTAAAAATCTAAGACCCAAGGAAAACATTTGAATGTTGGTGTATTCTTTCACTCACAGGACAAAAATTACAGCCCTTTTTCTAAATCAGCTGAACTACACTTTGACCATTTTTCTGCACTTGGGAGCCAAACTATAAAACATTTTCACTTTGGTTGATACTGTTTAGCTCAAACAGTGTGAATGCATCCTTAGATTTGACTTTGTCTCAGAGCCCTTGACACCCTTTGTGAGGAGTCCAGGAAAGGGAAAGCCTTGGAAGTCAAGGAAACTCACCGGCCCCTGGACAGCCTTGTGAGGCCTGGAAGCTGGGCTAAATCGCAGAGATCCGAGGCCACTGTTTTTATTTACTTTTTTAAGGAAATAAAACACATTATCTATTCAATTATATAAGATGATCTCTAAGACCTATTTGAGAGGGAAAATATATCATAATGCCATTGAATTTTTTTTTATTAGAATATCCTTTATTAGGAAAGGTCAGAAAACATCTGCAGTAACAGTAGTCCATGGGCCTCCAGCTGGGTCAGGGTCCCACCTGTCTCTAGTGCTATCTTGTGAAACACAAATTAACTTGTATTTTCTGATTGTCAGCCCCGGACCAGAGGCAGTGCCTCGTCTTTGGATCTCTGCACTTTCTGAAATGTGGCCAGGCTCCTCTCGAGCTGAACACACAGGACTTGCTTGTCCTGCTGATTTTGGCAGCCTGGTCCATAGTTCTCTCATCCATTGTGTAAAGAAATTCTGCCTGAATTGCTTACAGGCTATTCTCGGGACATAGCCAGCGTCCAACCTTTCTTCTTCCTTGTCCTCATTCTCTTTCCCTTTAGAGAAGGGGATGAACAGAGGAAGTAGATCAATGCTCAAAAGCAGCTGTCCTTTCAGGGTGTTCTATTAGATTCGGATATCCCTGTCCCTTCCTGACGCGCCCCTGAGCCCCTGTGCAGGGGACCCCGGTCCATTAGCTACATTGTCTGTGGCGCATTTTCGCAATCCCCTGTCATGTCTGGGTGCACAGTTTGGCAGGCTGTGTACTGCTGTGAGGATTTGGACTCAGGGCCACTCCCCCTGCTGCCCCCCACTGATCTCAGGCTGAGCAGAGGTCCTGCCCTGGGGGAGGGGCCTGGTCCCTGGCGGGAGCCCACAGGTGCTGTGTAAACACCTGGAAGGGAGGTTGTTTCTCAGGAAGCAACTTTGGGCATAGAAGGGTACAGCAGAGGGGTGCAGACTGCAGATCTCAGGACCTGGCTCCAAGAACTGGGTCCTAATTTCGAAACTTGGTTGGAAGGGGACCTCACTGCAGAGCCTTGTTGACTACCAGGTAGCCTTCGAGGAAACCAGTCTGTCTGCGCTCTCTGGAGTGGGGAGTGGGAGCTGTGAAGGGAGTCCTGGGGGCATAGAAAATTCTAGAAAGTGAGGATTTTGTTTTCTTTCTTCTTCTTCTTCTTCTTCTTCTTCTTCTTCTTCTTCTTCTTCTTCTTCTTCTTCTTCTTCTTCTTCTTCTTTATTATTATTATTAATGTTATTTTTATTCCTGATGCAACCCCACAACCCCAGCTCTTGGGGAGGCTGGGGCAGAAGGATCCAAAGTTAGGCAGTCTGGGCAGCTTGGTGACTTAAAATAAAAAATAAAAAGGGCTGGGAATGTAGCTTAGTGTGGAGGTTCTGAGTTTAGTTCCCAGTACTGGGAAAAAGGGGGAGAGGATAAATAAATAAATTAGCTAATGCTGATCAAACTTGTAAATTTCCAAGTGTTTTTTTTTTTTTTTTTTTTTTTTTTAGAACAGGGAAAAAATAGTTCTCTTCTTTCCTGGAGAACTGGCCCTGGGTGCTCAGGCTACCGAGCATGTCTTCTCCAATGTGATGGGCCGGGGGTGGGGCTAGGGTGGCTTGAGTATAGCTTTGCTTTTTTAAGGGTCATTAAAACTCCATTTCATGAACTGGAAGTGGTAGTTAAATAAAAGTCACCTTGTAAAAGGCAGCCCCTCCCCCAACCCTGTCGTTCTGGGAGGCTTGGGCCCTCCTGTGGGGACCACGGTTCCCCACACAGACCAGGGCCAGGCAGCCTGGGGGCCCAGGAGGCAAGCAAGCGTGCGGGCTTTCAGAGGGCCGCCTGGTCTCCCCCGGTACACCCATAGTTGTAGCGGGTGGGGGGCTCCCCACGAGGCTCACGGTCCCTCCTGCCCGCCCGGGCACCCGGGCTGATGCCGATGTGCTCAGCTACCTGCCGGCCTCGCTGCCAGCCGGGCTTTGAGGTCCCTGCCAGTGCCTGGAAGCAGGGGGGCTTCAATAAAGACAGGGCGCCTACTGTGTGTTCCAACCCTTGGCACCGGCTTAGACCTGACCAAAGAGGACTGCAGTGGAAACCCAGCTGAAAGGACAGAAGTGGGCCACAGCTTGAAGCACAGGGATGCTGACAGCAAGAGCCACGGACTCCACCTCCACAGAGACCCCCTCGGGGCTGCTGGGCACAGCTCTTCTCGCCTGACTTTTCTCACTCCACTGCTGGAAAAGTGCTGTAGAGCAGGAAGATTATTCTCCATTGTATGGACTAAAATGTGTGAGGCCAGGTGTGATGCTGCACCCACTTGTAACCACAGCACTCTGGGAGGCCAAGGCAGGAGGATTAGCAAGTTTCACTGCAGCCTTGGGCAACTCAGGAACTTAGTGAGACCCCATTAAAAAAAAAAAAAAAAAGCAGGTGGTGCATCCCTCTAATCCCAGCAATGAGAGGCTGAGGCAGGAGTAGCCATACAAGCTCGATCCTGGGCCTCAAAGCCTGGGCTACAAAGTAAGCTTAAAGCCAACTTGAGCCACATAAGGAGATCCTGTCTCAAAAACACAGAAAGAAAGAAAGAAAGAAAGAAAGAAAGAAAGAAAGAAAGAAAGAAAGAAAGAAAGAAAGAAAAAAAAGACTGGGGATGTGGCTCAGTGTGAAGCCCCCACCCCAGCCCACCCCAAGCCCACCCCACCCCCCACCCCCACTCTAGCCCTACCAGTTGTGAGGTAGAGCAAGCTGGTGATTTGCCCTAAGTCAGGCATCTGCTAGGTACAGCAGCGGAGACTTGGGCCCATCATCACCCAGATAGGGTCAAGGTGAGAATCGAGGGACCCTTGCTGAAGGCTATGGCTGGCACTGCCACCTGCTTATCTGATGTACATATACATTTTGTTAAATATGTTCATGTTAGGGGCTGGGGAGATGGCTCAGTGGAATAAGTGCTTCCTGGCAAGTGCAAGGGCCTGAGTTCAATCCCTGGTTCCGCAAAAAAAAAAAAAAAAAAAATAAATAAATAAATAAAAATAAAAGTTCATGTTTTTCTGCCCAGAACACAAATAGATCCCTTTCTCTGAGGAAAAACCCAAATCATCTGCTAGATGCTGCAGCTTCCAATCTGACCCATTTTTTTTTAAAGTACAAGAGATCGAGCCCCAGATCTTCACACTGAACTAC